AATCCTTTCTTTATGGTCATGTCACATAGACAGTGGCAGCACATGGGTAAGACAACCAGTGTGGTTACTTCACCTGGACAGCAAGGACACAATGTTGCAGCAACACAGCCATGTATAAGAAAAAGCATAAGAAAGGAATAGAAGATGTTTCTTACCTCAATAGAAAGGAACATACTCTTCTAGCTCCCCCCAAATAGGGGCCTATGAGACCACCTACAGCCCCAGCTGTGGCTGTAGTAGACTGAACCAGATTTTTTTCAGCTTCTGATGGTTTAACCATTATTGGCTAACCAAGAAGAGGCTGGCTAGAGAGTGCTATTGCCATAGGGACTGGCATTGCATCAAAAAATTCAATATAACTGCAAAGAAGCTGCATTAGCATCTAGATGGTACTAAGAAGGGAAATGGACATTGATTAGATGTGAAAGTGAATACAATAATAAGATTAACAAATGATACTGCCCAGTCTAAACATATCTTTTTCCTTTTTTGGAGGTGGGTGGGGAATATATTATTAACCACACCATCAAACCCACTAACTTGCAGGGGATACAACAAGCAATAAATGGAATAGACCATTATGACTTATAGAATATACCAGCAATATACAATTTAATGAACTCGAATCGTACAATCAAACACTCTCTAATGTTTATTGATCAAATATCTATTAATGCGTGGAAGCACCAGGGAAAGTAAACAACTTCCACTAATAAATGAAATATGAGACATCAAAGCAAATACCATCCTTCACCAAAAAAAAAAAAAATGTCCTTCAGTTTTTTTCCACAATATTCACCCTTAATATTTTAAAATCACTAGAATAATACAAATCCATTAATAGCTACGCAATGTTTAAAACATTTCTCCATTACCGAAACCAAATTTTAACCGATGCAATTTCATGAAGCCCATCCCCAAAACCAAAAAAAACAACTTGGTGAGTTTACATTGTGTGGGGGAGAAGGGTGAAAGAGAAGAGCAGGGGGTCATCATCTATCTTACAAAGCATTGGACTTGGCCTTACTGCAATTTTGTGAGCCCATAATTACTTGTCAATTTAGCATGTAGACTTTTTCAATATGATTAGTGTGCCATTTGCTCTGTCATCTTCACTTGTTGATAACAGCCTTAGTTGTTAAAAGAAGTGTAGACTTCTATCTTTGACCTCATTACGAGATGACAAACCTCCACTAATGATAGAATTAAAATAGTTATAGCATAATAAAAAATTAAATTCAGATAATTTTTTGGCTATGGAAGGAAAAAATAAGTGATATTCTCCACCTTATGCTTATATATGTATAGTCACTAGTGTAATGGAGTTGTATATTCTACAAAGCAACTAACATAGACCCACCTCCTATAAAGCCCACCAACCATCAACAAAAACTTACCAATTTCAACTTTGATTTACAGACACGTATCATTACCACCCGAAGACCCTCATTCACAATGAAAACCTATATCTACAAAATTCCACCAATAATAATCATAATCATAAATATATACACACAAAAGGGGCATAAATAAGAAAGGCAACGGGGCGGGGCGGGCCGGGGACCACACTCCTCGTCCCTGATCCCCGAAAGCGATAAATTCCCTATCCCCGTCTCCCCCCCCGATCCCCGGCGGAGAGCCCATCCCCTCCTCCCCGACCCCGACCCCGAACCTGAAAAATCCCCGAATTGTAGCATATCAGAAATTTTTTTTCCCCAACATATTCCATCCAGCAGCATATTTTCAACATTTTTTCAACATATTTTAAGCATATTCAAATTAAAAAATAGCATATCTGTCAATATATTCTATTCAAGCTCCACACAAAAGATATTCAAATAGCATATTGAAGCTCTACTCAATATCATATCTGTCAACAAATTTTCAAATAGCATATCATTCAAAAAAAATCAACATATTCAAATAGCATATATGTCAATAGGGATGGCAATCTGTCAATAGCAATCTGTTATGATACACACATACACACATGGTAGACTAAGGTAGACAGCCAAAGGTAAACAGCCATACACACATACACACTGTTATGATACACATATACACACATACCCCTTTGAACTCAATTTGGAATTAGACAGCCATAGTAGACGCAAACTAAATTCACAACTTCCATCTACACACATGTATTTTAAATAATGAGATAGAAATAAGAATTTGAGGCAACATGTTTTTATATAAAATAGAAAAATTATACAGAATAACTATGTGTTATGATCCCTTTATTTTAAAACACAAAACTCATTATATTAATCACAATTTATAAATATAGTATTGTCATATCATGCAAAAAATAAAAAATACAAAATCGTACATCACATTTTTCTTGCATTATTTACTATGAATATCATACATGAGAGGTAACTCAATTATTAAGTCGCTTAATCTATCGCCTAAGACTTTCAAAGAAAATCTCAAAGAATCCTCATCTTTAAATGCCCCAATTTTTCAGAGAGTCAAAGAAAATCTCAAAAAATCCTGATTACTTAATAAATTAGAAAAGTTTTAATACTTTCCAATGACAAAATAGAAATATGACTGTTGTGTTCTCTCCGACAAAACAATAAACAATTAAGAAAGAAGAAATATGAAGAAAAGATAGCACAAATGATTGAAAAGATACATACCAATAATTGTACACAAAGATATGGGCTATAGTGATTGCACTCTAAAATAAAAAAACTAATATTGAAAAAAATGCAGAACCTAAACATTTTTCATATTTCTTCAAATGTTGACATCTCAATTTGTTGACTAAAATCACCAAAATGAGAGGCCCTATTCTGTTATGGTTCATGATTTTTCTTCATGTATTGTACACTCAGATATATGAGTATATATATATAAACTGAGAGGGTAATTTTTGGAAAAAATTGGGCCGAGCTGCGAGTTGGGCTTTGAGGCCCAAAGTGCGAAGGACTAAGTAAAAAGGCCTTAATGGTTACTCCGGCCCAGGAGAGCAAGGTTACTCCGGCCTAGGAGAAACAAAGTTACTCCGGCCCAGGGAGGTAAAATTACTTCGGTTAAAGGATTGTAAATGTACTTCGGGTCCGGGAGCAACTTGAAGTTAGACCGGCCTTGAAGTTATGTCGGCCTTAGAGGTGTACCAGTCAGGGAGTTATACCGGTCGAGAGTCGTTGGTTCGGTCCAAACACACCATGAGTTGAACAGATGAGAAACCGATATAAAGGAGAGTAAAGGGAAGGGCTGAACTAAGTATAGTTCGGCTTACTTTGTGGCTCAGCATAGCCAGTTTTACTTCGTTTATGACAAAGTGAACTCAAAGAAAATGACAAAGTGACAAAGTGACAAATATATATGTAGTTTTGTCTCCTCTTGTTTTGATTTATTTATGACAAAGTGAACTCAAAGAAAATGACAAAGTGACAAAGTGACAAATATATATGTAGTTTTGTCTCCTCTTGTTTTGATTTATTTATGACAAAGTGAACTCAAAGAAAATGACAAAGTGACAAAGTGACAAATATATATGTAGTTTTGTCTCCTCTTGTTTTGATTTATTTATGACAAAGTGAACTCAAAGAAAATGACAAAGTGACAAAGTGACAAATATATATGTAGTTTTGTCTCCTCTTGTTTTGATTTATTTATGACAAAGTGAACTCAAAGAAAATGACAAAGTGACAAAGTGACAAATATATATGTAGTTTTGTCTCCTCTTGTTTTGATTTATTTATGACAAAGTGAACTCAAAGAAAATGACAAAGTGACAAAGTGACAAATATATATGTAGTTTTGTCTCCTCTTGTTTTGATTTATTTATGACAAAGTGAACTCAAAGAAAATGACAAAGTGACAAAGTGACAAATATATATGTAGTTTTGTCTCCTCTTGTTTTGATTTATTTATGACAAAGTGAACTCAAAGAAAATGAGCAGTAAGGAAATGAAGTCCTGTATAGGAGTAGTTTTGTCTAGGACATGCTTCTTTATTCTTCTAATAAGGAAATGAGCAGTACCTTCAAAGAAAAACATAGAACAAGGTTTTTCAAAAATAAAGAAGCTCGGCACAGATAAGTGAGTAGACAATGGAGCATGAAGCGTGAAGACGATTCACTAATATATTATCAGCAACTGTGAAGACGATTCACTAATGCCATGTTCATCTGGCTTCAAAGACAATGGAGCATGAAGCGTCAGTTTTGGCAATACCTTTCAACTTAACAAGCTCATATCAATGGCTATAGAAGAGAAGCAAAGAAATTCAGTTATATATATATATATATATTTTCACACATATATATGACAGTTATACATACCCAAATTACTCCTATATAGGACTTCAAATATAGTAGAACTAGTGTAGTTAGAAATTTCATTCAATGGGATCATTCAAAAAGTTGAGTAGAGAATTTTATGACATAATTTTAATTCTACACATACCTCAAGTAATGGGGAACACCATATTGGTGAAACGGTTAGAGGAGTTGCTATTGCCTTTTCCAACATTAGCGTAGTTAGAAATTTCATTCAATGAATTACATTCATGAATTTAAATGCATGCAATTCAACAGAATTAATAGTACCAAATGAAGCTAGCTCACCCAAACAAGAAAATTAACGAGTTTTAGAACATGTTCACCAATATCTATTACATCCACTACCACTTCCAGAAAGAAGGGTGATTCTAGAATCAAAGAATATGGAACTCGGAACTTATGCACGAGTTCAGGCATTTTTCTACTCTATCTCCGACCAAACCAATTTCCAAGGTCCGCTTTTTGTTCCTAATCTGGGATTCAGAAAAGATTAAAAAAAAGAAGAAGAAGAAGAAAAGAAAAAAAAAAAAAAAAACACTTTTATCATTGAGAAAGGTCAGATGCATTATGTTAAAAGCATCCAGATTTAGGGCAAAATTTTCAACCCAAAAAGTAAACCAATCAACTTAGACATTCATACATGAAAAACTAAAGAAAAATCATCAGCTGAGGGAAAACCAATCCTTTCTTTATGGTCATGTCACATGGACAGTGGCAGCACATGGGTAAGACAACCAGTGTGGTTTCTTCACCTGGGCAGCAAGGACACAATGTTGCAGCAACACAGCCATGTATAAGAAAAAGCATAAGAAAGGAATAGAAGATGTTTCTTACCTCAATAGAAAGGAACATACTCTTCTAGCTCCCCCCCCAAATAGGGGCCTATGAGCCCACCTACAGCCCCAGCTGTAGCTGTAGTAGACTGAACCAGATTTTTTTCAGCTTCTGATGGTTTAACCATTACTGGCTAACCAAGAAGAGGCTGGCTAGAGAGTGCTATTGCCATAGGGACTGGCATTGCATCAAAAAATTCAATATAACTGCAAAGAAGCTGCATTAGCATCTAGATGGTACTAAGAAGGGAAATGGACATTGATTAAATGTGAAAGTGAATACAATAATAAGATTAACAAATGATACTGCCCAGTCTAAACATATTTTTTTCCTTTTTTGGAGGTGGGTGGGGAATATATTATTAACCACACCATCAAACCCACTAACTTGCAGGGGATACAACAAGCAATAAATGGAATGGACCATTATGACTTATAGAATATACCAGCAGTATACAATTTAATGAACTCGAATCGTACAATCAAACACTCTGTAATTGTTATTGATCAAATATCTATTAATGCATGGAAGCACTAGGGAAAGTAAACAACTTCCACTAATAAATGAAATATGAGACATCAAAGCAAATACCATCCTTCACCAAAAAAAAAAAAATGTCCTTCAGTTTTTTTCCACAATATTCACCCTTAATATTTTAAAATCACTAGAATAATACAAATCCATTAATAGCTACGCAATGTTTAAAACATTTCTCCATTACCGAAACCAAATTTTAACCAATGCAATTTCATGAAGCCCATCCCCAAAACCAAAAAAAAAAAACTTGGCGAGTTTACATTGTGTGGGGGAGGAGGGTGAAAGAGAAGGGCAGGGGGTCATCATCTATCTTACAAAGCATTGGACTTGGCCTTACTGCAATTTTGTTAGCCCATAATTACTTGTCAATTTAGCATGTAGACTTTTTCAATATGATTAGTGTGCCTTTTGCTCTGTTATCTTCACTTGTTGATAACAGCCTTAGTTGTTAAAAGAAGTGTAGACTTCTATCTTTGACCTCATTACGAGATGACAAACCTCCATTAATGATAGAATTAAAATAGTTATAGCATAATAAAAAATTAAATTGAGATAATTTTTTGGCTATGGAAGGAAAAATTGAACTTACCCAACTCTCTTGGAATGACTTGAATTGCGGTCCATTATAAGGCGTACATCTCAGAACTAGAACTGTAATTCAACGGTATTAGAAATACTCAACACAAATAATTAGTTCACCATCAAACGTAATATACCATCACATATTACGTTATAGCCCCACAGTGAGTAGCCCAAGAAGCACGAAACTTCTGGTGGCAGCTGCAAGGCAAGCATGCACAGAGTAAGTGGGTCTCCAATAGATGGCTTTGATTGCCTACCAAAATCTTATAAATCGTACGCTAAAGATAATAGAAATTAAAATCAATGTGAAAATTGATTCATTTTGGCCAGCTTCATTTACCTGTATAAAATAAAATAATAGATCTTCAAAGTTCAAACACAGTAAAGACTAAGTAATACAATTTCATTTAGCATCCTTTGAACTTTTTTAAATAAAATATGGCAAGTTCCAATTTCTTGTATAAAAATACAGTTAAAAAATTCCCAAATTTTGGATTTTATTTAGGTTTGCCCAAGACATAAAATGTAATTGATACAGCAATAAAAAGTTCATAAGCAAAAACCATCCGCTGATCTCGTTCAGGATCAACCTCCGTCTCTGCCACTTCTTCCTTTTTCTCTTTATACCGTCTGCTAAAGAAAAAAAAAAATATATATATATTTACAGTAAAGTAGACTTTGCTAAACTATGTAAGCAAATTTTAGTAATTTTAGTCAAGCAAACTTTAGTTTTCAGTGAACGAAAATATAGAGAGAGCCTCATCTTGAGAGTTTGCTTAGGGCCCCAAAAAGTTCACAGTCTGCCCTGATTTTGAGCTAAGAGGAGCACGAAAACATATATAAACAAACACATACACTAAAAGATTATACCCGGAGGACATTGAATCCTTAATTTCCATAAATAAAATACGCCACTGGACCGTAATGATAAAAAACTGCACACTATAAATGCACTCACATGTAAATAACTAAACTGCAATCGGAATCAAATTGATAAGGAAATTCTATAAACTAAAACGAGCTCATCATGGAAACTTTCACAACAAATTTCAAGTATTTTGGAGCTGACCCAGGTGATCATTTCAACCCATTAACAAAACACAAACGATTACGCAGAGTAATTTCAAGAAAACAACAAATTATGCCTCCAAGTTACAAAGACATATATATATATATATATACGTTTGAATGTAAACACGATAATAACCGCTAATAGATCTTTGGGTCTAAGATGTACATGAATAGGGTAAACCAAAACATTAATGTTGTGCTTGGTTAGGAGATTTGAGGAGGGATTTGGAAAGGGAAATAAAAAAGATAGGTGCAATGTAAATAAAACATGCCTATATTTTATCTA